TTATTAACCTCACATGGTAGGAGGGCGTGAGCATAGCTGCTCACAGGTCCCACCGTTGCGCATAGAGCGCAGCACTATCTGCTCGCGCCCTAACANACATTAAAGACTTTTGAAATCGATTTTATCAAGCCATATTATTTGATCATTTAAAAAAGACAATAATTATCATTTAGATATTTGATGTAAAGACATTAATAATTGTTTTTCAATTTTATTATTATTTTGCTCATTTAAAGTTTTTATGATTTTATAAATTAAATATTTTGTAACGATACTCCTGTTCGAGACGAGGTTCCTCGTCTGATCAGCGCTTATTCGTCGGTAAGGGTTCCAAATTCTAGGTCTTACTTTATTATGACCATAATTTTGCAAATATTGGCGTATATAAATAAATTAATTTGACGAAATAAAAATTGATTTTAAATTTTCAGCATTTAGACCACTCCACTATGCCTTAAATAATATTTTATTTTACTCAAATTAATTTTTAATTACATGGTTTTTATTTATATATAAAACTATGAAAGTAATTTTTATTTAATTGTTTTAAATTTGATATTTATATTCTAATGTTTATTAACAATCCTTCATAAGTTATTAAAAATAATTATTCTATTCCCACTTCAATTCAAATTAAATATTTTGGTTTTACCCTTGACAGTAAACATTACTGATTTCACCATATCCATTTTAAAATAATAACTGTAAACCAGTGTTAAAAAATCAATCTGAATAATTCGATTAATTCAATTTTTTTTCAATAAACACTTTATGTTTATTTCTTTTTTCGATGAACTTGGTTTTTAAATCGGACCATTTTCCTTTATGAAGGGGGCGTTAAAAACATTAAATATACGAGTAAAAAATAGAATTTATTCAACTTAAATTTTGAAAATGTTTCAGAAATACTCCGAGCTTTAATATATGCCAATTAAATCTTATGTTAAATACTATATGTTTCAAAAAAAAATTTGTCTCGACACATATTCTTTAATGAAGCAATAAACGCTGAATTGAATCAAAAATGTAATATTTATTTAAAAATCAAAGTTTATTGTGTTAATATTTTGATTTTTAAAATTGCCAAAACTTTTTAAAAATGAACAAAGCAATGTAATTTTTTTATATTGAAACCTTAGTTTTTTCATTTGTTTTACATACAGATCAATAAATTAAAAATCTGACTTTTACTTATCCACAGGGTGTATTTAAAATAGAATCTTTTGCACACAAGTTAAAATTTTTCAACTTATTGTCAGCTTTTAACATATGTAAGACTTATGTTACGTACTTAAAATTAAAAAAAAAAAAAATTTGTCCAGAAGAACATTTTCTATGTGCGGTTGTTTACAGCATGCTATTTTTGTATTCAAATTTATTTATTTTTTGTTCATATTAAAAATACATACAAGAGTTTGTCATAATAAGTATTGAAGCCAAGGATTTTTATACATATATAAATTTAAACTTATTTTGAATATTTTGACTCCACTAAGTTAAGAAAAACGTCTTTCAGTTTTTGAACTAGCTTAATTTTCATACTATTTTTAATTGCTATAATGAATATTTATTCACATATTGCACTTATAAATCATAATAGTTGTAATCGTGATTTAAATAAATACATAGTATTTAATTTGGTTATTGGAAATAATCCAAGAATTCATTTTAAAAATTAATCACTATCTACAGATTTGCATCGAAGGGTTTCTTGTGATAGTAATTTTAATCACTATCTTATATCTTCTATACTTATCCACACTGTGCCATGACTCCACTTAGCTAATGTTTCTATTCTTATAATGGAAACAAACGTTAACTAATATTCTTTCAATACATCAGCGCCGGAACTTATTGCGCCACCAGGTATAAATATTTTTGAATCTTGTTTTGGCCAGGCTAAAGGAAGCTTTAAAAAGTATTGATATCGATCTCTCAATAAAATATTCTCTCTTAAAAAGATACTTTTTCAATAAAAATGTACTAAAGGTACATTATTAAAATTATATTTATAATAAAAATACAGAGTGTATAGAATCTTATACATATAAAATAGATTTGTTACACAATCTCCTATTGTTGTGAACTGGCTTTTTGCTGCCTAATTGTAATTGTGTAATTTAATAGTATATATATTAATCTTACTCCTATTTTACTTAACTATTCCTACTATTATACTCCTATAAAATCTCCTATTTTTAAAATAAAATCGTTTTTCTTAGCAGTCATATTGACTATATAACTTGTAGTACTTTTCACACTACACGTTGTATAAGCCTGTGAAACAGAATAAAATTAAACATCAACGTTTTATTGTTTCAAATACCATTATGTTACTTAGGTTATAAAGTAATAACCAGTAATAAACCATTAAGATAAATTAAAACCCATTTTTATTTATATTATTACGCATTTTATACTCTTACATATTCTGCTATATATCACCACATATTATATTATTCTACTATTATACTACCATATTTTATTTTATACCATTTTTTTAACTCTTCTGTTTTATCTTTTATGGTTTATTATGCTAATTTGTTATTATCTCAAAAATTTAAGTTAATAGAAAAAAACTAATTGCTAATTTTAAATTAAATTAAAAATTTAGTAAGTGGTTTAAATTCTAAATATTCAAAAAAATATTCTGTTTCATCAAATTATTATTTGTATTCACGCCAATATTTGCAAAGCAATGGGCTTATAAGACAATAGATTAATATAATAACGAATGATTTAATATTTAGAACACGTACTGGAGAATAAACGCAATACTTGGGTTAATTATGGAATTTGGATCATTATTATTTTAGCAGGACCCTCACATACATACATCATAATATCTTTGTATTACTGTCCATTTTCATATATCAGAATATATTTTTATTTATGTTTGTATATTCTGTAGTTCGGACGAACTCAAAACATTTTAGAATCTTCTAATTTGCAAAGAAAATTTAAATGTTAAAATATTTAAAATTATTTTTGTACATACTTGTATTTCTGGGCTAGCAGCATTTGAGTTGAAAAATATTTGTGCTGATATAAGAATAACGAAAAGACACGTTGTCAAGTTAAATGCATTACATCGATTTTTAATCATTCTTTTAGTTTTTTAAAAATACTTAATAGTATATATTGAAGTTTTATAAAACAATTTTCTGAACAAGTTCCTGCATATATAACTTATAGCTTTCAATTAATCTCTTACAAAAGACTTTTGTATAAATTGTATTTTTAATTTTTTTAAATTTTACTAATAACATATTACCTTGATTTATTACAACCTTATTTAATTAAATAAATAGGAATCGTCTATAGTGCTATTTTTAACAAATAAAGTATGTGTTTTTAGATTATTAAAAAATACATCGCCCAAATAAAATGTGTTTTATGTTCATGATGAAAAATAAAACTATAGGGAAATAAATTTAAAAGTTTCTAAAAGTGACAAACAAACGTTGTATTGCAGTGTATTACTGAATTCAGGGTCAAAGTTTCATAATATAACATATGTTTCAAGGTTTATATTTACCAAAAAAACAAAAAAATTATGTTGGTCTGTCATAAGTATTAATCAAAGCAATCAAAATATAACTATCCAGGGAACAGCGACAATTAAATCCCGAAATTCTGATTAAGGTCCACAGTTAAATTTTTTCGAATTACCAAAATTTAACGAACATACCAGTTATGTTAATTAAATCGTAAATACTGAATATTTCAGTAAAAACTGTGTTGACACATCCATAGTTTTATTCTGTGAAAAAGATTAACATGATATAGGTTCAGAAATATTTTTAAAATTAATGTGTGAGAGACAATTACATTTTGTATCACAATGTCCTAATATACAACAAAAGACGCAATTTGACTAGATAGTATCAGGTCCGACGTCTTGCTCGCCTAGTTCTGACAGCAGTATATTTATTAAAAATATTATGCAAATACTTATTTAGAAAATAAAATTTCTGAATTTTGCGCCTAGACGAAGTCATAGAAAGTAAAGTATATTCAGCCAACAAGAAGCTGTGAAAAAAACATTTTTATCAACATTTTAAGTGTGATAAAGAAGGGCGAGTTATGTTGACATTCAAGGACGCAACATTCAAAAACTAGGGTACTTCTATAATATCGCTTTTCTAAACTTTTTATATTATATTCTATAATTTAAAAAAAATTTTACCATTAAAACATCGATTTCAGTCCATACCGGAATTAAAGCGAGAATATAATACATTTTTAAATAAATACCTAAAGTTAATACAAGAAGAAATTAGGAATAAAGAAATGAAGTAGATATACAATTTATTACATCATCTTTTCTGACCACTTCATGATTACTTATATAAGCTAATACAAAGGACAAAAAGTGCCCAGAAACGTGTATTGCTATAAAAAATGATATGTATGAGAACGATGTTAAACTAATTAAGTTAAAACACTGGCAGTTAAATATAAAGTGGAATGATAAATACTCGGTCAATTTCGGCAGGAGTGGATACAGTACTGTATGCAAATTTTAAATTTAAACATGTTATCTATAATACATTTGATTTCATGCATATATGAATTACAAAATATTAAAGTGCATCGTTAAAAATGACTTGCAGGTAATAATTTTTTATGATTTATCTATTGTCAGTCGATATTCTTCCTTATCAAAGATTATAACATACAACAAAATCCTTTCTGAAAAGACTTTTAATATTTTAACTAAATGTACAAAACACACTGTGTATAATAAACATATAATGTTAAATGATGATAGTGCTATAGTGAAAAAAATGATACAGTATTAATGCTATCGAAAAATTTCCAGTCAAAAAACATTGTATATAATTACAGTTAAATTATTAATTTTGGCCGTAGTATAATTTTTTTAGCTTTTAAATATATCTCTAAAGCGATTGTAAACTAAAAAAAATAAAGTTGTATAATTGGATGATTTTTATTGGTAGTAGACTAAATCAACAACTAGGNTTACTGGAAGTAGACTAAATCAACAACTAGATTTTATCATTTATTGTTTATCACTGTTATATTTTGACTTATACTTCTACTTTGACTCGTCCCTACCTTATTTAATCTTGTTATGGTAATACAACTAGATAGATGCTATATTATCATAGTATTTTATTTTTAATTTATGAAAATTTAAATGACGAATTTACTGACTCATGTTATAATTAGAAGCGCCTAACTATTTTAGTTGTTGTTTTATTTAGACATAATATATTTTTACAATAATTTGTTGATTCATTAATTCAATTAACATATGAATGTATAATAATTTATTATGTTTTAGCAATATTAAACTTCTAAAAATATTGAGGATTTATTATTTCAGGTAACATAATGTTTTCGTAAAAGTCAATGAGACTCTTTTCCATATTATCGTTCCAAAAATTGTCATCTCGTAGAATTTTACAATAAACTATTCCTAAAAATAAAAAAAAACTAATAGCATTTTATAGAAAAAATATTTTTTAATTTCATGTTTCGAATCACATTGTAAAGTGATTTTTTTATATAAAATATTAATTAAATTGTTTCTAGTTTTCGTGAATATGGAATCTTTTAATAATTGGTTAAGCATTGACCATAAAATTTGTCATGAATCTAATATTTACACCAGAAGAAATAAGAAATCATTTAAGAAATTACATTGTCGCGGTCGATTGTAAAACAATTATCGTAATCGCAGATCATAATTAAATGTGTATATCAAAAAAAAAAAAACCCCCAGCACAGGGGGGTCGCGGCACAGTGGTGACGTGGTATAGTTGGATCAAGTATAATGATATCTGATAATGATTAAAATACCTTTTGGGGTCCAAATAATTAAATAACAATACTGCCTTTGAGTAATATGCAGTTCTCCTTGTATTTGAAAAAAAATTCGAGAAGTACGTTTTAGTACGAGTTCTTCATTTTCATTATAATGCACATATTTTATCACTTTATCTTTTATAGCTTTTTCGGGAGTCATATATTGGGCCTTAACTGGACATTTTATTTCAATAATACCATCTTTCCCAATTAAACCATCTGGTTTTGCTGTTAAATAGTTAATGTTTCCATCAAAAAATAGACCACATGGTTTAATCTTTGTGTTCATTTTCTTTTCAAAAAGTTCTATTGCGTTGGGCTCATTAACTGTGCCATATTGCACAGCAAACCTATATAATATATATATATATATCATCAAAAGCAAAAAACAGGATATTAGTGTCTTATTAAAAACTAAAGTATTAAAAAAATAATATGGGAAAATAATTTTTTTAATATTATTTATTATACTTATTATTACTTACGGGATATTATCTTTGGTATCAGTTGTTTTATTATGAATGCGTAATGTTTTTTTTAAGAATAATTCCTTGTCTTTTGTTTGATTAAATGTACAAACATAGAAAAAATGAGAAGATGATAGATGTGTTTTACGTACTTTTTCCCACAAATTTTTGTGAACGAAATATATTTCATTTTTCTTAAATGTTTCATCGTCATATTTATTTAATTTTAAACTTTGTAGTAAAACTTTTTTAATATTTTCGTAGTCTTTATCGATAACCACTTCCTTTTGATTAGCTGCTCCATTATTGGTAAAATGAAAAACAAATTAAGGAAACATGAAATGAAATTACTTTTAATATTTAAACGATAAGATCAATACAATGAAAAAGAATCATAATAATAAAAATAATTAGTTTGTATACATTTTTTGTTTAAAATTAAGTTATGATTTAATTGATGAACAAAAATTCAAAGCAACGTTCCTCTGTAAAATTTTTAATAAATATTGTGTAACGTAAAGGGATTTCACTTACAACAAAAAAATGTTAGATGTATCATCACAGTTATCTAGTTCAAGTTGCGTGCAACGACTTATGCTGCCGTTTTTCGTTAAAAAAGGATTTGTATGAAAATATAATTACTCAGCTTATCATGCTGTATTAGATCGAAGTATTTTAGCTCAATAACAAGCAAAAATGAATCATTAAGAAAATTGATAGTAGAGCTCCAAGTTATCATAAAATTATAATACAGCATACATAGTAATAATAAAAATGAAAATATTATTAATATACCGGTCTGTAGTACAGTAAAGATGCATAATTTAGTTAATAAAAAAAAACAGCTTTGTGAAGATACGACATAGTTAGTAAAAGTATAAATATTATTTGACAGTGATTAAAAGCACTATCATAAATACCGTTTCGATTCAAATAAGTAGATAATATTTAATTTTTAAAATGAATTGGTGGATTATTTCAAAAGCAGCATAAAATCCTATGTTCTTAATTATATCCTGTACATAAGTTATATACGTGGGTAAGTTATTTGTGAAGATGCGAAAAAAATTTTAGCACTCCGTGAGCATAAAAATATTTAGGAATCTATTGATAGAAATACTATTTGATTGATAGCGTGTTTCGATTTAAAACCTGAAATGCTAGAACAAATAGGTTTGGTTTTTTCGTAAAATTATATTTAAATAGGTAAAATTTTTTGAAAGTACCAAATGTAATACTTAAAATTTCTTTGTACCTTAAATTTGTAAAAGTACTACAATACATTTTTTTCTCTAATATACAAAAAAGTTTGTATTTTAAATATTTAAATTTCAATAAATTCCAAAAAAAATTAATGTTACATTCCTAAACACATGCAGGGTATTTAGGGATATAACACTAATTTTATAATTCATAAATAGGTAGAATTTTTTGCAAGTATAACATGTGATATTATATACTTTTATAAATTTATTAAACTTTNAATGTGATATTATTTACTTTTATAAATTTATTAAACTTCATTCATCAACATACGATAATGTTTGTTTGTTTAATAAATTTTATTAGTAGTATTACATTATTTTATACCTTTGTTAATAAGTGTTTGAGAAGTTTTATTCATTTTAATTACTAAGGAAATATGTGTCTTTGACAATAAATTCTTCACATATCTTTTGAAATTTTCTTGATTTAAAAAATTTTTACTTTCTCCTTTGAAAGTATTAAATGAGAATAAAATAATGGATTTCAAAAAATCATTACTTTTTTTACAATTATCGCAAAATTCATTCATTGATGATAGTAATGCAGAATCACTTAAATAATTTAAACTGACATCAAATGTATTCTTGTTTTGAGTTTCAAGTCTTGTTAAAACAATAAGTAGATTTGCAAAATTATATTGCCAAGGGCTAACAATAAACTTGCCATAAATAAAAAATGAAATCATCCTAACTGCGTAAACAGAT